GAATAAAGTGAAAAAAATGATCAAAGGGATAGAATGCAAGCCATACAAGCAAAGGCTGAAGGAACAGTGTATGTTTAGGTTGGAAAAGAGGAGATTAAGGGGGATATATTAGTGGTATTCAGATACTTGAAAGGTTGCCACAAAAAGATGGAGGAAAGCTGTTCTCTTTTGCCACAGAGGGCAGGACAAGAGGCAATGGGTTCAAACTATAGCATAGCAGATTTAGATTAAATCTCAGGAAAAACTTCCTATCTATAAGAGCAGTACAATGGAACAGACTGCCTTGGGAGGTTGTGGAAGCTTCTTCACTGAAGGTTTTCAAAAGAAGACTGGATAACCATCTGTCTTGGATGGTTTAGAGACAACAAATCCTGCATTTTGGCAGGGGGTTAGACTAGATGACCCTTGTAGTCCCTTCTAATGATTCTAACCCCAGTCTAATTTTAGTGAGGATTGGGATCTGAACACCTCCCTATCTCTTTGAAATTGAAGATCCACACTCAGTTTCTTGGCCAACATTTGAAGCACTAAACTAAAGAGCAACTCCAGACAAGTCTGGCCTCCTGGTCTGAAGTCTCTTTGTCTGAGTGTGATGTGGGAAACACACACCCCATGGAGTGGGGGGAAGCTTGAAGGCTAGAGTAGCAGCCACAGAACAGCTCCACTGCTCATCGTCTGGGAAGAAGGGGTTCTTCCCCACCAATCTCTCTCCATGTAGGACCCCAAGTACTTTGGCTGTGCAGACCACTTAAGTCCCACTTAAATCTAATTTTGAGAGCTTACATAGTACTTAAGTGGTGCATAGGCCTCTGATGGCCTTCTGCACAAGAGTGAATTTCACCCTGAAATGAGGATTTGCCCCTTAAGGGGCAAATTGGAGAGTTCATAAATAGCAGACTGCAACTGATATTAGTCACATTGCTTACTGCACTTCTGGAAGGTGTTCCGATATTATAGTGATGAGCATGACATAAGAACCTATATAAAACAGACTAGACTGTGCCAGAGCCAGGAGATACCTGGAAGTCTGACTGTCCCTATAACTGTAGTGATCTACAGTCTGTGTGTGAAACTTGTTCCCATTCAGAGGCAGGTCAAGGCCTATGGACTGCTCAAGCCCCCAGCACAAGTAGGGTACAGACCCGGTGTTGGGCACAGGAATGAGGAATAAGCTCTCCAAATTGGTTCCTCATTCCCATGGTAATAAGAAGGAACTTTCACAAACAGCCACCCTGTTGCTCAGATATTTTTCCTTCCTGACTTGCAGTTCTGCTACCGAGCTAACAGCTTTTTTAGCATGACTGTTAACATCATTATCCAAGATTATCCTAGCTGGTCATATTTCCAGCTAGTGTGAGACTGCATAGGAAATATATTGAAATGATAGAAGGAAGAAATGATGCATATCTGGAAAAGACACCCTGAATCTATCCAGCTGGATGGAATCGCCATTGTTTCCATGCCTTTCACTTTCTAACCAACTCAGCCCGTTAATTGAAATGTTTGCTGTTCCCATGAGTTCCTCTTTCTGCTCTGGCCTCCTAACAAACTCTGCCCTATCGTGCTGATTTGGGTGGAAATTGCATATTGCACAAGACATTGTTCTAAATGCAGAACCTAGTGACATGCTAATACAGTCATTTCTATGAATTCTCTCCTCCCACTTCTACCTGAGGATGCCTCTGTAACATGGAGGGAAGCAAACCACTGAACATATCAGATTTATTAATGCAGGGATTTTAATTTTATTTCCTGGGCATGACTTTATTTAGTGAGTGTGCTCAGTGCTACACAGAGGGCTGGTTCAGGGAATTTGCGGGAGTTGTGTAGATTAGGAACAGAGGTAAAATGTAGGTTGAGATTAGCTAACCCTATTGGTACTGTGATCATTGCACTTGTGTTAGATGCAGGTTAACATCTTTTATGTTGGTTTAGCTGGTGAACAGCTAATTCAGGGTAAAATGTGCTAACCTATGTCTTCATTAGTTGGTTAGAAAGGTCTGGGTTAGTGAACACATGTTTGCTAAATGCCACTTAATCTCAATTTCTTTTTCTAAACTAGACAAACCTTCAGAGGCTACTGCAGCCAGAGTGTGCCATCTACTGCTAGGAAGATTCCATTTCAGCCCTGGTACCTCAGCAGAGACCCTCATACACAAAACCCATTTACTCAGACTTTGTGCAAGGAAGGAGCAGAGGTTCACAATGATCCACCCTCCAAATCCCCAATAGACTTTAAGACCAGAAGGGACCATTATGATCATCCTGTCTGACCACCTGCACATTGCAGGCCACAGAACCTCTCCCACCCACTTCTGTAATAGACCCATAACCTCTGACTGAGTTACTGAAATCCTCAAATCATGATTTAAAGACTTCAAGTTACAGAGAATCCACCATTTACACTAATTTAAACCTCCAAATGACCCATGCTGGGGAGGAAGGCAAAAAACCCAACCAACTCAGGGTCTTTGCCAATCTGACCAGGGGGGGAATGGCAATTAGTTAGACCCTGAGCATTTGGGCAAGACCCAACAGCCAGAAACCAGAAAAGAATTCTCTGTAGTAATTCAGAGCCCTCCCCATCTAGTGTTCTATCACAGGGCATATTTGCTACTTGCAGTCTCACAACGGCGATCTACCATTGTAGGCAGTC